CATTTATGGAGGCCAAGAGGGCTGCAAGAGCCTCCTGCGAGAGCCTCTTGCAAGACCTATCATGAGAAGGCCTGGTGGGATTTCAAATACAAAGAGCCAAGGGGAGCGTCAATACTGAAAGTGAATTGCATGCGCTTAATAGTTCTGGGGCGGGCATTCTGGACCATGACAAGGGTGGTGTTGAAATTGAGCTACACTATGAACAATGTCTATCTACACTACGCTGAGATCGAGAACGAGGCGATATAGCAATTGCCGGAAGCCCTCCATATCATCCTCGTGCAGGCCTGTAGAATGAAAACCTCGTAAGACTGCCATAATTGCAGCTAGTACCCAAACTCCGCAGTCATAGCCATTCGTCTGCAGAGGTTCGAGCTAGAAAATGTAGTTAGCGAGGGCTCAGATTTCATGACAGATCAATTTACAATAAGGGGACGAGCTACCCATCCTTGAAGATCGAATGATACTGCAGGGTGGCGTTGACGTGCAATAGATAGTAGACGAGACACAAGTGTCATAATGGCCTACATGGATGATGTCAATGTTTCCGCCTGTGCCATGATAAGTAGCTGAGCCTCACCTTGACGTCATGTTGCCATGGCCGCTTTTCAGCAAAACTATCGAAAAGATGAAGCTCCTTGGAGGATCGGCGAATAACACAGAGTACCCAATGACCAACAGGCACTGGCCGATGAATAGGCAGAATCCAAATGTCCTTCTCCCAATAACGTGTCCACGAACTTTGACGCCAGAGCATCTCATCAGCTGCGTTGTATCTGATGCGTGGGAGGTCATGAGTAGAGAGAATGGCAATGCGCTGCGCTACAGGGATGGACATCTGGGAATCATGCAGCAAGATTGCGCAGCCATTGAGGCATACATCGTTGAGACGGGCAGTCGAGGAACCAAGGAAGGAGATATCCCTTGGATCAAATATTTGTCGTGGGAAGCCATGGCGAGAGGGCCATATCCTAGTTGCTGCACCTGGCCCTTGCACAGTGATGCGCAGATCCTTGCGGGGCACAGGTGTTTCATCAATTTGAAGTACCTGCGAAGGGTGTCAAAATGGTAAGGAAGGTAGCAAATGGTAATGTACCTCCGGAACCGCCCAACAGATGGTGACATCAGCTTTTTCCGCTTCGTCAATGTCTTCTATGTCCTCGTTGGCAATAGCATCTTCCTCGAGGAAGTCAGAGAATGCGATTTGATGGGCGTCGATACTTGATGCTGGCCCTGCTTCAAAGTCTGGGATATCGTCTTCTTGGTGATCAATTGCCAGTATTGGAGGGTTATGTATCCAACTAAGGGAGGCTTTGGTTGCACCTCGTGTGAGTGTCTTCGCGAGATCTGTAGCTACTTTGACACGATCAGAAAAGCGAGCCACAGAGGCAAATGGATTTTCCCAGCGTGATCGAAGTTGAAGAAGGTGGTCTCGACGGGTCCGCAGTGAGAATATGAAAAGTTCGTCTATTGACATCATCAGAAAATGGCAGAATAAAGCACTAGACTCACTTACTCGCATCAGAGGAAAGAGCAAGCTCTAAAGCAGCGAGCTCGTCTCCAAAATATCGGCACAAGTTGTCAGCTTCAATACTGAGCCGTTGCCGCTCCTCTTGACATCGATCATGCTTGAGGAGGGCGCGGATTCCATCTCTCACATCTGAATCGTCTAACCAGCGTGGTATGTCTCCTGCAGACGGCGCGATCCAAACGTCCTCCATTAGAGCTTGGTCGTTGCGTAGATCCGCTAGTTTAGTTGGAAGTGCCATCGGGAGTGGTATCCCCCATGAAGGGTCGTAGAGGGTGTCTAGGCGCTCACAATAAGAGTTGAACTTACGAATTGCTGTCATCAGGGCTGGTTGTCTCTTGGCTATTGCTTTACGAGTTTGCTGGTGAAGCTTGGTGCCTAATATGTTGAGATTAGTCCAATGTGCCTTTGATCCGGTTTAGTCTCACCTAACGCTTGCTGAGCACCACCAACTGCCCTATCGAGTTTATCCCACTCGAAGAAACTACCGATTGCCCGTTTGCGTATGTTGATCTTGAGGTCGCGGGCCATCAGGAGGGTGTGGACAAAATCTAGGTTGACGCCCTGAAGCTCTGGAAACCTGTCATGGATATTCAGTGAAGCGTATAGCGCTTCGACCTTGTCCATGAGACGTTGATGCCCCCTCTCGAGACCTTCGAGAGCACTCAGGGTATCATCTGAAGGTGCCTCCTTTTCAAGCATGGTGCGGGTAGCCTGCAACGCCCGATCTGAAGTATCCATATCAGATTGTAGCGCAAGCACTGTATCCAGTTCCTTTTTGAGACGCGCAGGAGCGTCTTATAAAAAACTAATCAGTTAAACTAACACGAGAATAGTATGTACCAGTACTTACGAGCACGCACAGAGAGTTGCGCACGCCGCTGATCAGCCCACAGTGACCGTAAATCTTCAATCGAGACACCACAGTGATTAAGAATGTCCTCGGTGGTATTGACTTGAGTCTTGATGCCACGAAATCGTCGCTTGATCCAGTCACCGAGGTCTGTGCGCATCTCAGCTCCGATGGAGGCTGCCTGACGGTCTATAAGCCACAGACGCCGTTGGCGCTGAAATGTGCCAGAATAAATTGAAATATATATGTGAGATTGAGAATGGAGATGTGCTTACCGATGATGACCGCTCAATACCGATTAGACGAATGAGTCGCGACCAAAGTCGCTCGGTACCTTCTCCGTCTGATAGACCCATTCCAACGCACATCCGGGGATTATAGACAAGTTGACATCCCCACTCGTGGCCATACGCGTGCATGGCAGTTGTTGCGAAGCGGAGGCGTGAAGTAATAGAAACATCTAGAATATGATACTGCAGAATGTTAGGGATACACATCACTCAAGTTACAAAACATACCTGTGAAAGTGAGCGAGCTAGTACGCAGCCAACATCGTATAGAGCAATAACTGTTGCCTGTGTGGGGAGAAGTGAGAACAGATGTTCTAGTAAGGCAACAGAGTACTTCTGCTGTTCGCCGGGTGTATCGATGTTTGTAAAGAATAGGGGAATGTCGTGACGGCAAATGAGTGCCATCAAACCAGTGTCGTCAAAGCTTTCCATGGCAGTCTTCTGCTTTTTCCCATCAGCGGCTTCGTAGGACTGCTCGCACTGGTCAATGGCCTCGTTAGGTACAATAGGAGTATGTGTCGTAGCAGGGCGCTTCCGATTCTTATGTATCCGAGAGCCAACTTGATCGACGTACGTCTTTGGTAGGAAGTATGATGGATTATAGAAGTGAGGGCAGTCGCCCGCTGAGCGGCGGTGACGATGATGAAAGTTGCCGTCTGTGGCGACATGAATGTCACCTCCTTGATCGAGGGGTCTGCCAAACAACACTCCTGCAAAACAAGCGGGACAACGCTCAACCAGGATTGATGCACAGTGTTCTCTGTGTAAGTGGGACTCGGATCGAGCCTCTTGGGAGGTATCAAGGGTGTTGGGCATGAGGACAGGATGTACCTCGCGGACCTCTTGAGAGGGATGTACCTCGCGGACCTCTTGAGAAGGATGTACCACGCGGACCTCTTGAGAGTTTGTTGCAGGATCACAAACGGGTGGTGAGGGCTCACAGGAGGCTCGGATTCGGTCACGAGCTTGTTGGATTGCTTCTTCAATTGTCCGCTCCACCTTGACGTGCAGAATGTCGTACCACTGAACTGCATGTCCAAGACTTCTTCTGAATGGTTCCTGGATGATGTTTCCCTGTGTAGTTTAGAGTTAGGGTTATTCTTGGATTTGAATATATAAACTTACATGTTCGTCAGTTGACTGGAAACCCCGCCGAGCGTAATGAGTTTTCAATGCGGCTGCAAGTGCGTTGACTGCATCACACGAACGCTCAAATAGCGCTCGATAAAAGGAAAGAAGTTCGATGGAAACCGCTATCCTTGGAAGCAAGGGCGCGGTTGGGAATAATCCGTGGAGTATAAGGACTTGGGAAATCGTTGAGCAATTACAGCTCAGGACCTCAATCGAGACAAATCCTAGTGTTGAATTAGTAAGGCCAGTGAATGATAAGAAGCCTAGCTACACTTACGATCAAAAAAGAGAGAAACGATGGATGAGCGCTTTTGAGCACATGAATTAACTGCACACGCAGATATGATAGAAGGCGACTTCTCGAGTGGCTGACCGACCGTTCTCGCGAGATAATTAAGGAGAGGTTTGATTAAGGTGGGGATCACACCTTGCCAATTTCCATAGAGTGTTCGTGACGCCTTGTCAGGGAGTGTGCGCCGCTGGAGCTGAATGAGCTGTGTGTTCGCTTGTAGTTTATCATGAGGGGGTGGATGTTGAAGCTCGGGCACTGGACAGTCCGATTCGTACACCCATTCATCGTCGTTCGAACTGCCTATAATTGCGGTCGGATCCATGTTTGAACTGCTGGGATTGAATACAGAAGCAGCCTCTGGTAATGTTGGATTGATAAGAGCTTGCATGCGTAGGGCGAGCTGGCGGCGTTTGACATCTGCGCCTGGGATATCGACAAATGTTTGCGTTTTTTTCTTGTCTCGGGACTTGCGTGGACTAACAAAGTGTTTCCCAAGTCCCCGTCCAGAGGATGACACTTGCTCTGCACGGCGCATTCTGATTCAAGAGTGGTGGATGAGCTACTGCTACAATAAAACTACTAAGTGCCGGTAGAACAGAAGGCCACGCATATGCAGCATGGTACTTACCCCCAACCCAGCGTGGAAGTGCCCCTATTAAGTGGAAAGACCTACTGAGAGGTGCGGGTAGCTATTGAGAGCACTTCTGAGTAGGACTAGAGGGCTATTGGAAGGTATGGGTAGCTATTGGGAGGAGTATTGAGAGGCGCCGTGTAGGTATGTATTTCATTTCTCACGCGATCTAAAATTAGAAGGCGGGAGGGGGGGTCTCACAGACTAGTTGCCGCCAACATAGAAACTGGGTCTCTTAGACCCTTTATAGGCACCGAGAAGTGCTGCCTGAGGTGCATACGCCATTGTGCCGCATTGTGCTTACTGTATCAGATAGCGCACAAACTGCGCAGGCATCTCACCAACATCTCACGCCCCTTTCTTTCCTCCTGTTCTTTGAGAGCCCTACTGGAGATATGGCAGAGCCAAAGGTTTGGTTCAGTGGGTGAAAGCGAATTCATTGGACTCGCCATAAATACTGATATCTCACATCTAGTTACTGGTGCATCGTCGGGGTTCGGGAGATCGATGACTGAGCTTTTGCTCAACAAGGGCGATAAAGTCATAGCGACTCTTCGCCATCTTGATGCTCTATCAGATTTATCAGCACAATTCCCATCCCAGCTCTTAGTCATTCAGCTCGACGTGACGAACAGCGCGGAAGTATCAGCTGCGTTTGCAAGAGCAAAAGAAGCATTTGGAAGGATTGATGTCGTGTTTAATAATGCAGGTCAATGTGTAGCAGGAGAGTTAGAGTCCGTGAGCGAAGAAGAGGCCCGTCAGATGTTCGAAGTAAATTTCTGGGGTGCTATGCATGTGAGCAAGGAGGCGGTGAAGTTCTTCCGAGAAGTGAACAAGCCAATTGGTGGGAGACTGTTGCAGGTCTCGTCAAGGTTGGGATTGGTAGGCGGCCCTGCAACCGCCTTCTACAGTGCATCGTGAGTGTTCTAAATCATGTGGCATAGTGTATTTAAGTCATAGCATCGCGACAGAAAATTTGGCAGGTGTGATCAATTTTTGAGAGTGGAGATGCTTACCAAATTATCTAGCTCTGGAAGGCCTGAGCGAGTCCTTGGCAAATGAACTTGATCCTGCGTGGAACATAAAGGTAATTCTAGGATGCTTGACGTTAAAAGACTCGCCAACCTTTCGTTTCCCCAAGGTCACAATAATTGAGCCAGGTCCATTCCGTACCAAGATATTCAAGGAGAACCAACGCCTGTCTCCCCAGCACCCTGCGTACGCCAATCCTGACTTGCCCGGTTCCAAGGTTCGGCAATTCATAGCGTCGGGCAATATCGATGGAGATGCAGACAAGGCAGTGGTGGCCATTGAAAAGTTGACCCACCTTGATGATGTTCCTATGCGCCTGCCACTGCACAGAAAAGTCGTTGGTTCAACGAGGGATAAAATCAACAGCCTGACTGAGGACGTGAATAAATTTGAAAGTTGGTCTGAAGATCTTTACCATTAAAATCCATGTAATGTAGTCAGTAGTCTTGCTACTCGTTCGAATGCGTTTTGTACACATTTATGCAACAATTTCTCGATTTTCCCTGTGTAGAGACTGCTGCCTTTCACTGTCAAAGAATGATCACTTTATGTAAGTCGTTCGTCTTCGAAACCAGACGTTTTAGGATTCCAGATAAATCGGGGTTAAACTTGTTTAACCAAGTTGAATCAATTCGCGACGCTGGTCGAAAATTTCTTGGCCTCGTGACTCTGCGTCATCGTTGAGGCCCCTTTCCTTCTGGATATAAGTGTCTAACTGACGTGTTCCGTTTCTGCACGTCGCACACTTGTCCTCTGAGCACCGTCTGCTCGTGCACGTTCTGCACTACTTGTTTTTCGTGTCTAATTGAATTATCGTTCTACTCAAATTCGGTCATCCTTCCAAAACATACTATGTCAGACCCTGGCCCTTCAAACAATAATGCCACCAATTCGTCGCAAACCCAACCATCTCTTAGGGGACCCGCAATGCGAGGGGCTTCAGTTGAGTCCGACACTGATGAATCACATCTACCCCAACAGGTCCTGGCGAAGAGATGCCTTGACGTCGTCCGAGATTTTAGAGCCACTAAGGGAACAAAATTTGAAGCATCCTATGTCATCTCCAGCATCATCAAGGAAAGCTTACCCATCGGCTCAGGAGAAGATCCCACTGCTATCGCGGCTATCTACCTTGCCATGCTCGACCAGTGGGAATCTGAACAAACTCAAGCCACTCAAAGAGCGACTGGAGCAGTTAGAGAACGGTGTTCGGTTTGACCTTAAGCCAACGGTTCACCAAGAACCAGCTAGACCCCTATCCGCTAATCTCAAACACACCATCCATATCATACAGAACTGGGCGCAAGACCAGAAACAAGCGAAGCTCAAACTCATGTACCATGAGCGGAGCCCAGAGTTTTATGAATCCGGATGGGCAGATATCGTTGCAGGACGGAGTCTCAACCTCGACGCTATCCACACCATCATTACCACTTCACGCGCCATTGACAAGCAATCCGAGGCCATCGGAGATGTTGAGTTCACCTACGGAGTCTCAGAAATGGCCCCAAAGAAGATTGCCACGCAGGGACAATGGAATGCGGCGTGGAATAGAGCAGCGCGTGCCCTCAAGTTCGCTTTCCCTTTCCAACAGGCCGAACTTGACGCCTACGCAGAACATATCAATGAACAATTCGACCAACAGTCGGAACTTTCTCATGGACGAGTCCCCTGGTACGACAAAGCAGTTAGATTCAGGGTCGGAAATTCTTGCAAATATGAACTGTCCGACTTCGAATGTTTCAAGGACATCTACAGTGCACATTTCTCCACTGGAGGAAGGATGCACAATGACACCGGTGAATCTAGCAAATCTGGAGGACGGGAGTCTACTGTTAAACGCGAACCGTGCCGCAAATGGAACACTGGAGAATGCACACGCAGCGCACCCACCTGCCACTTTGCCCATGTCTGCAACGTTGAGCAAGACGGCCAGGTTTGTGCCTGCCGTCATGTCAAAGCGAAGCATAATGAGGACACAAAGTCCAAATCTACCTGATCGATGTCTGAAGCGTCCACGCTTTCGACGGGGTTTGATTTGGTCACCAACGGACGTCTCTTTTAGTCCAACTGCGCGCTCATCCGAGTATGCAGACCCGGTTCCAACAGCACCTTCATATCTCGCTGATAGTGATGCAGCTCATACTGTTGCTAATTACCCACAACTTTTCAAAATAGTAATGCCGATTAACGTGGATCGGTTCCAGGATCTTTTAGTGGACCACCCAAACCAGCCTTTTGTCCAATCCGTGTGTCGGGCCTTGCGCGAAGGATTTTGGCCGTGGGCCGATGCATCTGATGAGTCTTATCCCTCCATTAACAACAACTCAATGCGCACCTGTGCAAAGTCAGAAGAACAGGAAAAGTTTATTGAGGAGCAGCTTCAGGAAGAGATACGACTCGGGCGAGTATCTGAAAGTTTCAGGACTGATTTATTGCCCGGAATGTATAGTGTGCTGATGCACACGGTACCCAAACCAAACTCTGACAAACTGCGCCTCGTCGTCGACCACACGGCTGGAGAGTATTCACTCAATTCGATGATCGACTCGGATGTGATTAAAGGTACCAAACTAGATGGGTTGCACTCACTTGGTGCCTCGCTACTCGAGTTTAGGCGAGAACATCCTGATGAAGAGCTGATTCTGTTCAAGTCAGATGTTTCTCAAGCGTTCCGGAGACTACCTATGCACCTGCTGTGGCAAGCCAAGCAAGTGCTGACGGTACGTGGTCAACGTTATGTTGACCGGAACAATAACTTTGGGGGACGCGGTGTGACAACTATATTTCCGCTAGGCTCGTAGGAAGCTACTATGCGATTCCCGATGATACCCCACGTTGTGCGACTCACCCCTAGCCATCCCCGACGCAACCCGCCATCCCTGACACAACCCGATGGGTGGACCCGCTCTTGTACCCTGCGAACTCATCCTACCTATGTCCAGTCCCGTCGCGCTTAACCCCATTAGGTGTGTAGTCGTCCATTCTCTTATTATTGATAAGTATAGGCAGCATTATTACGAGGATTCCCACTGGCCGCAGCACCTCATGTGCTTTTACATACTTAATCGGGTCCGACGATGCGCTACTAATTTCGCCTACTGTATTCCGGACTCGCACATAGCTAGTTAAATAGGACTTCGTAGGTGATCGTACTGTACCACTCTGTAGATGGGAGAAATTCCCTGATACTAGGTCACCTCACTTAGTCCTTATCCTCTATACCTGCTGAATATACCTGAATTCCTATCATTACGATCTGAACCTCAGTCGCCCATTTCCCTAAACATTCCCTCGTGTTTCCAATCCTAACCCCGCACTTTTCCTTTCCTTTCCCTTGCTTTCCCGTCCTCCCCGATCCCCAAAACATCGGACTCAGTATCCCCTACGTCGGACTTCATCTCCTACCTTTGGACTCATACTTTCTACCTTCAGGTTCTGTTCCTTGCATAGTACTGACTTATTTCAACTTAACTAGACAGCAGGCCCCTTTAGGGTTGAACGCTCTTGCTTGCAATTCAAGCAGCTAGGCAGAGCTGAGACCTCATATACTGGCTAAATACTTTTACAGGTATCTAGTCAGGTTGTGATTTCCACTGTGGTTCTCCTAAAGTCTGGATATCCTTTATGTCCCTCGTGGCATGGATCGCTATTCACCGCATGCTAATTGAAGCACTCAAGCTCTATATGGACGACTCGTTTTTCCTTTGACTTAGCAGGTCGCATGCTCTGCTACGCCCCATATCAGTGTGATTATCCGGAGAAACAGACTCGTCTCCTGGAGCTTTGGAATGAGATAGGACTTCCTCATGACCGGCCAAAGCAACTCTTCAGCTCGACGCTGACAGTCATCGGTTTCGACATCAACCCTAATGCTATGTCCGCCACTCTACCTGAACATAAAAAGGAGGAGCTTGTTAAGCAACTTTGGCAATTCGCCATGAAGAACTGTCGCTGGGCACTTCGCGAGTTCCAGCAGCTCGCAGGTTGGTGTGAATGGAGCTTTAATATTTTTCCCCTACTCAAACCAGGACTGTCTGCTGTATACGAGAAGATACGTGGAAAGGACCAACCCCACACCCGTCTTCACGTCAATAACACTATCATCTGTGAGCTGTCATGGATGGCAAACCATATCGAACGCCTTCCCGGCCTCTTATTTTACAAATCATTGGATTTTGACCTGCTCTCTGATGACGTAGTGGTCGCCTATACGGATGCATCAGGTTTGGGAATGGGTCTATGGTTTCCTCATGATAACTTCGCAGGACAATCTGCATTGCCTGTAGGTGCTCCCAAAGACACGATCTTCTTCTTTGAAGCTCTGGCTGTTTGTTCCGTGGTGCACGCTATACACAATGTTGGAATAGAATCGTTCACCTACCTATTTAGGTAGCATGGTCCGTGCACAGTAGCCACACATATATAAGTAGCCGATCCACCACATGTATGATCCTCATCCAGTTCGTAGAATAACTGCTTGACGTCTAGTTGCACTCGCATGTCAGTACCCTCTCTTGTCGTTTGGAGCAGCCGCCTGTACTACGGTATGGGATAGTAAGCCTGCCAGGATCGTTGTCCCTACGTCCATAGTCTCAGCAGCTCGACCTCTGGAGCTCGACTTTCCTTCACACAACATGTCGGACCCCCCCTTGGCATATGCTCATTTACACAGATAACACAAATACTGTCGCGATGTTCAATTTGCTTCATGTACACCCTTTTTATAATTCAATCATGCTCTCGGCGGTCGACGTCCTGCTCAAATGTGACATGGACTTACGAGTGGAGCATGTGCCTGGTTGTGAGAATGGTGTTGCAGATGCACTCTCACATTTTCGGAACGAGCGTGTCCAAGAGCTGGCCCCAGCGGCCTCCTTTTTTGATTTTGAACCCCCTCGAGATGCGCTGGGGGCAGCCAAAAAATGATGCAGGTGTCTGCATTGTCCAGGCAGCCTTTGAGGGAGGCCTGGACACACGAGCATCTCTTGTACGAACACTCTGTGGCACTCGGTTTTACAATTGACTCCACCACCACATCTGTCTATGACTCGCATCTCAACTCTTACATTACCTTTTGTAGGCTGCATCAGCTCCCCATCGACCCCACTGTCGATACATTGTCATTCTATGTTGTGTGGCTCTTGCACCACATTGAGCCTCGCTCCGTCGACTCATATCTATCAGGAATCGCTAATCGGCTGGAAGAAGGGTATCCGTCAGTCCGTTCGGCTCACTGGTCCTCTCTTGTGGCACGAACTTTGTGTGGCTGCAAACACCGTATGTCGAAACCAGTGCAGAGGAAGCTTCCTTTGTGCGTGGATGACCTACAGCGGGCTCGCACAGCTTTTGGCTCAGTGCCATGTCACAATGACAGTTTGTTCTTAGCACTCCTGTTTACTGGCTTCGTAAGCCTGCAACAGCTGGGTGAACTCACTTGGCCTGACACCATCAAACACCAGACCTACCAAAAAGTCCCTTGGCGACATACTCTTACCATCACTGAAAATGCCATCTCCTACACCTTGCCCTACCAGAAGAATGATAGTTTGGGGACTGGTGCGACCATCCTCATTGTGTCTGACTCAATACCTGGACTCGACCCTTTGCCTATATTGTGGCAGTATTTGGCTCACCGCGACTCTGCTTATCCCTTCCGCCCAGCTCTGTGTCTGACGAGCAGCGGATCAATCCCAATGAGGAGTTGGTTCCTGCGGCGATTGCGGGAGAAGTGCAGGAGTTCATTGTCGGGTCATTCGATGAGAGCTGGAGGCGCGACAGCATTAGCTATCGTGGGAATGACTCTGGATCTCATTCAAGCTGCAGGAAGATGGTCTTCTGATGAATTCAAGAAGTACAAAACAAAGAACAACACCATATAATGAAAAAAAAAACCCCTTTAGCCCATTAGGATGTCCATTGTGCCTTCGTCACTCATGTCTTTCACTCCAGTCTGTGGGGTTCTGCTTCATCAGGAAAACCCTCCCAAGGCAAATTAGACAGAATTCATATAAAATTGTAACATTAGCATGATCACAGCTGTTTATCTACAAAGTTGCTAAAGATGATAATGTTAGATGAGTTTTTTTTCTAACATGGCAAGAGTTATCGAGAATTATCTGAACATTGAAAAAGTATATCTATCTATATACGAGTTCAACCAGAAGGTGTCACAGTCCTCAAGCACTGTATCACTCGTCCACTCTCGTGGGGCCATGACGCCAAACCTCGGTATAAGATGAACACTGCGCTCGATATCGGCAACTGGCACAATACTAGCCACAGTGTCACCTCCGCGCAGTGATTGCAAGAGTTTATATAGTCTGCTATTGCGGTCTGCAGCTGGCGGAAATGGTGTGAACCACTCGACATACGCAAGGTGAGTAGGAAGATGGACCGTTGGTGGGAAGAGCAGTGGGATGGATTTTGGTGGGAAGGTGAACATGACTCGAACTTGACCCACACGGAAATCTATGATCAATGCAAAGTAAGTAATACATACTAACACTGACTGACAGATAACACACCTCGAAGATCCTTCGAATTCGTACGCAGCCTCACCAGAGCTGTATCCGATCGGTGAGCAATGAGACGAGAGCCGAACTTGCGTTGTGGCTTCGCATGGACACTGTCCAAAGTAACACGTGCATCGCCATGGCTGCAGGCATCAACCGAGCACCATTTAACCTTATGAAAGATAGGCAGTCGGCGGAATGGAAGATGGATGTCGTGTGCCAGCGCATCAAGTGCGTGACCGTGAAGTGGTGTGGGATCATTTCCTCGAGTCTGCTGAGCAATATAGCGTGCAAGGGCATCTCGAAAATGAGTAGCCCCGTAATCCATAGTCAGCTTTTCGAGGCTGACAGACTTCGCGCTGGGGTGTTTTGTCATGACTTGTTCACAGCTGAATGTCATATCTGGTGGGCATGAATGGTAAGGATCAGACTCGTGGCCACCAGCGAGTCGCCAAGTAACATATTTTTGGTGTCGCAGAATCTTCTCCTTTCGTTCGAACCAGTGTGTCATTTGGGCAAACTCATCCTTGTGATTCGTAGCGCGGTAGGCATCTTTCGCCAAATCGATGTGGAGCCGTTCTGTGTACTCCGTGTTATAATTATCAGTTGAGCCAAACAGCATGATCATCAGAGGATAATGACGAGCAGCATGCAACTTCGGTAGGTTAAAGTTGTTTCGAATGCCGAGGTCAACAAAAATGAGCTTGTTTTCATGAAAAAGGTCTAGTGCCTCATCCAGTAACTGAAGGGTCTTGGTGCTATGGCAAGGGTATTGCGCGAGGTACACAAAGTTGAGTAGCCCCCATACAGCTTGTAGGAGACGACCTGCGTTGAGATTGTTGGGCAGACGAATGTCGATAATGATGCCGAGGAGGAAGCAGCATATTTGCGCATGTTTGGTGCCGCTTACACATGATAAGGTGGTGATACCCTTGGTGAATAATCGAATGTGATGGTTGGGAGGAAGCCATTGACAACGAGCATCAATTTCCGTGGCTCCACAAGCAGCCTCTAACCATGCCAAAAGGTGTTTCACCAAGCCCTGATATAGCTGATGCAACACATCAGGCATGACACCCTGAAAAATGTTTGCAAACGGGAGTTTCTCCCAGAAAGAATGTATCACAGGTTTGATTCCTACTGTGGCACATGTGCGAACAAAGGCAAGATTTCCTTGATTGAGCGCCGCGAGTGCATCCAGCACCTCACCTATTTTTCGTAGGTGGAGCGGTACCGTATTGCTCTCCGTGTCATCCTTCTTGACGTCACATTTCGGGCAGTCGCCAAACTTGATTCCTGTTGCGAGAAGCTGCTCTGGATAATCACCGACAAAACTCGCAAATAAAGGGTGGCAGCGGTGAAGAGCACCGTCTCCACTGTGCATGTTGATGCCCTCTAATCCAGCATGTTGCAATGGTGCAAGCACGCGACTCAGGCAAGTGTGATATAGGTTTGCGAGAGACCAACGGCATGAAGCCTTATTGGTGATTTGTTCGAGACGAGTATTTGGTAGATAGGCGAGTAGGATGTGGCCACCATGCGAAGGTTTACGGCGAATTTCCTTCGGGATATTACCAATGGTGAGATACACTGGGTATGCAGACTTGTTGCGAAACATAGTGACTTGCGTTTTGTCTGTCGAGATGATAATTGGAATGATGGTCCCACCCGGACAATGCTGATCAAGTTTTTTCTAGCCAGGCATTATAAGTTATGAAGTGCAATTGATGTCACATTGAGTGCTTACCTGCATGTTCCACCACCACTTTCCGGTATACATGTCATGAAACAGACGAACAGTCTGATCTTCGTCTGTGTAGTGGCGCTTGGGAGCAAATGTAAGGTATCTTGCAAAGTCGGGATCACCGTACAGTGACTTGATGCATTCGGGGATGTCGCGGTAATACACATTGAATGGTTTTCCCGCGACAACGACCTGCTCCCGTTTGAATTTGGGGCGTCCAGTTGGAAGTTCATAGTCGATGATCTTGTTCAGTTCATTGGTGTTCTTGAACGACAGCCCTAAACGTTCACTAACCTAGGAGTAAGTATTAGCTATTAATGAGTGATACTTGTGAAGCGCATCAAACACACACTATCAACCTATTGGATGCGGAGACACTGCGACATCATCTCAACACCCAGTTTGCTCAGCTCAATACTTCCGTTAAACTCAAGCTTTGGGAGGAGGCGTTCCGCAGTGTTGAAGATGTACACAATCTGCTCACAATGGCAAAAAGAAACTTACTCCATCAATCGAGAGCAGGTCCAAAAATGCCGTCAATGTTGCTCCACGAAGTTTCGCCCATCTCGCAACCTCCCATTCGATCTGGGAATTGAAAGGATGGTATGGGTTCTCGTCATTGGCGAGATGTGCCCCATATGCCACATTGGCACCATGGTCAACTGAACCATGCGACATACTTCGGCCAGCGTGTGGATCAGGATAGGGCACCCTAACAAATCCAGACTGGCCTTGTGCGTGAGCCTCAACGTCTTGACAAGTGTTCTGTTGAATATCCTCCAACTCGTCATCTTCAAAGGCAAAAACATCATCCAGTAGGTCCAGGTCATTGTCTTCATCAGCCTGAGGTTGCAATGGTGCAGCCTCCCATTCAGGTTCGAAGGGCAGATGCTCATCAAAATCTTCCTCATCACTATCAGCTGCGTGCTCACTCGCAGCACTGGCAGGCCTCTCAAACTCGTCCTCATTGTAAATTCCGTTGTAGTCTCCCTCATCCAAGGCAAGCTCGGCTTCGGTGTCATCTACCGAGTTGGATTTGTTGTTTGTTCTTGATCGCGACTGGCTGTAGAGTGTGTGACAACGTGGGTTGCAACTCTTTGCGATATGCTGGCTGAGACCAGTTACAGTGAGATCATCACGCCCACAAGCTGAACACGTGCGGTAACCCAGGTCATTCATAGTTAGAAGCTGCCAGATGACGAAGCTGATACGATGCGAGTGACGGATGACGAAGCTGATACGATACGAGTGGGGGATGACGAAGCTGATACGATATGAGTGGGGGATGACGAAGCTGATACGATGCGAGCGGCGGATGACGAAGCTGATATGATATGAGTGGGGGATGAAGGGATGACGAAGCTGATATGATATGAGTGGCGGATGATATGAGTGGGGGATGTACTAAGTTTGAGCACTAACCCACCTAGTATTGAGATGATGAAGCTGATACGATACGAGTGGGGGATGAATTGAGTGGGGGATGAAGGGATGATGAAGCTGAAGCGATGCGAGCAACGGATGACGAATGAACTGAGGGTGTAGTAAGTAATGGCCCGAACAAATACTAAGTTCAAGCACTAACCCACCTAGTATTGAAGCCCTCAAAAACTAATTGTTGCCATCATATATGCAAATAGAATGATCTGATTGTCTTGTGGTGGGCTGAGTGAACTGAGGTTTAGGTGGCACCTAAGTACGTTTAGATATATGCGAATTATGACGAGCGGCTACTAAAGACTGACCAAGGGTGTGGGATAATAGCCCATTCTGGAATGGGGCACACTCTGAGCATTGCGGAATGGGGAGGGATGAGCAGGTAGTATGGGACCATGTACAGCAGCCATAGTGAGCAGAACGGGCTGGATGATGGTGTCATGAATGATGACGGTCCAATTGCCATCATTGGTGGCCCGATCGTCCTAGCAGATATTAGCACTGCAGGGTAGTTAGTGCCCGATCGACCTAGCAAATATTAGCACTGCAGCCAGCAAAGTGAGGGAAAACATACTATGTTGTGCTTTGATGGTGGTGGTACCGGTACAGGCTCATGTTTTGGGATACCTGGGGATGGCGATGGGAATCCGAGTCATGGGTTACCTGGGGACAATGATACCTGTGGACGACGATGCTGATGGGGGAGTGTCCCGAAAGTCAGGGACAGACAGTGCCAGCGAAAATACAGTTTAGCGCCTATCTTGCTACATAATTGCCCTGTTACATTGCGGTTAGTAAAAATTTCAGTCCCATTCCCTTTCATTTGAATGTCACTCACACTTGTTTAAAAAAAAATCCACCCGGGTTCCTCAACACTCCTTTATTCTTTTGAGTCCTACACACTCTGAGTCTCAAAATCAAAGTAATAATAAAAAATGACTTTACCTCGGCAGGATCAAGGTAAGTGAGTATAAGCAACTCAGCAAGTGACCGACTGTGAGGCTTGACAGAAGTGCGTGGTGCCAAGAAAAAGGCTATCGAAAATGCAGGTGAGCGACCAAAAACACCATTAACAACTCAAACTGACCAGAGATTCAGTTTGGAAGCGAGACAAACCAAGACGCAAGAACGCGACAGCGACATTGGGCCAAGACCATCCTGCCCCAAAAAGAGGACTGACACGTCACCAGCACCTACTCCAAGTCGGAAGTCCAGCTCCAAGTCAAACAGGACTGCATCAACAAAGCCGTCAACATTGAGTGCATCAATACACTTAAAACTTGGTTATGGTACTTACATAGAAAAAACTTGGGCACTGGCAGAGCGTCAGCGCAACTTGGTGGATACAGATAGCAACTCATTTGATGATGGTATAGGAGCTCCACTGATGGTTAATAAGCAAGGTCAGCCTAGGTTGCCGTGACAAAAAAGGAAGTCTTACATGATGTGTGCAGCGCATTATCAATGACCAGCCAAACTCTGCCGAACATACACTACACAAGACGTGTCATTGCTTGAAGATGATGAACCGAGTGGTACTGACTCTGATGAAGCTCAGCCCAGGGACAAACCGAGTCGGGATAGCTTAGTAACCGATTCAGAGGGTAATGAGAGTGTCACTGGCAGCGAGAATGAAGACTCGGCTGCGATGAGGCTTTTCGATGAGGTCAGCTTTGCTAAAGTTATCATATGCTTGTGAACTCACATTTGATTTGAAGGTCGCGTCGGTCGTCACCAACAAGCAGGGGGCATCGAAATCATGTGGCACTTCAAAATTGGAGTTTGCCTGTGATCACAAACAAGTGGCTGAGAGTCCAAAATGGGCCAATATGGATCTTGAAGACACGGTTTCGGAGTCCATTGAAGATCCCTCGACTGGGGGCGACTCGTCAGAATTTCATTCTGACAACGAAGGCACTGCACCGAAACTTACCTCTGACGCTCAAACATCGAAGACTCGGAGTATCGCCTCTCTCGTTCGAACAGATGGCGGAAAGGTGAAGTTACTTGATCAGAACTTAGAGACTCGCAAAGTTCTTCAGTCCGCAATCATGGAAGTCAAGTGCCATCTTTTTTTCACCAACAGCTATCCTGAACTCGTCGACAAGAACCAAGTCGCGCTGGAAGCATTGATAGTTGTGGCTGAAAACCGTGGTGTGCATGCGATCAAAGAATGTCTTCAATCGGACGAACGGTATGCGTCACAACTTGGTAGCTTAGTGAGTTCAACTCGCACCTTTTCAGATCACTCTCTAACTGTATGCGAGGTGGATGCTCGTGTTCCAATATTGCGCTGGGAGCTGAAGGAAGACGCATGTGCGCATGCCAATGGTTACTTTCGCCTTGGACACACCGACACTGGGAAAGCTGCAGCGAGAAGGCTGTTGGATAAGCTTGCATATATATATATGCCTTGAAGTTTGATGTGAGATCTCTCCCCTTGCCTGTACTACTGATATTATTGAAATTATACAGATCAATAACGAGGCTTCGCCCATTGGAAAGAAGCCCTACCAGGGTGAACTTCTTATATACTTAATATATCGTCAGCTCTTTCATAGCTCGAGGTCCATTGCCGTCAAATTCATGGAATGCTTCGTCAAAATCACCAACAACAAAGGACAGCGCCCCGAAGTCCCTATCCCTTTGCTGGCATTGGTTGCAACTGCGGTAATGTGCTTATCATCATCGTACGGATGTGCCGTTTAACTTGTTGCACAGGTGTACGCAGCCCTTATGTGGAAGTTGCAAGGTTCAACATCCAAATTCAACTTTACAGGAAATTTATTCAGCGAGACATACAACTACCATGTCAGGTTCCTCAAAAAACTGAATAAGGACGTGCCTGCGAAATTCCACTGTATGATGGCCGACATCTATGAGGCTGCACAGTGAGTTCCACTTAGGTAGTATTGCCTCGATGCTCACTCTGCTTACAGGAAGTTGCGATACAGCGGCACCGCTGCCAGTGGCCATGGTGCTGAGCTGGAAGCATTCGAGTTACTCGACCTTGACAACATGGAAGAAGACTGAATCATCCCCCGCTCGTTTTCATGGTGTACAATATGGAATTGTGAAGCTGATACATAGTCTCCCAGTTGGTCATAGCGTGCGCTGTTATTTAAATTAGCCTACTGCCCATATACCCATTTTTAATCAAAATCTTATTTTGTTCTTGTAATGCTGTCTGGTTCGGTTGGAACCCTCGTCTAAGATCAAACAAATTAACTCTACAATGTATGATAATGTGTTTGAATAACTTCGAATGTTTGCTAATCCTCATGTTTTTTATCAGGGGGTAAAAAAACCGATCTAAGCTTGCTTAAAGTTAAATTGGAAAATTTAGACATAAAAATGCAGCATTAGTTCTAAAAACATATATTTTGTTTAGGAGGGTTTTCCTGATGTTCTAGTTCATTGCTCATTCAAAGCACTCAAAGCACACGTTATCGAGTCTCGCATCTACCTTGCCTTATGCTGCCGTGTCATGTACTATTTCTGTCTCTCGGTTCGCAATAAAATTTGTCCGAGTCCCCCGGGCGTGGAGCTGGGGGACTCCGCTTGCCTAAATACCGCGAGACCTCAGCGCAAAACTGATTCAACACCGATGCGTCCAGAAAGCGGGATTTGCCTGGCCGGCCGGATGCAGACTCGGTGACAAGTCAAGGTCTAGGCGTTACTCGGAAAGTGCCGGGAAATCTGTCAAGCTGATATCACCCGCCGACCGCGTCAACATTTCAACACCATCCCGCCTGCCTGCAGCTGGTGCATCAGAATCTTTACTCCATCTCTCCTGATCCCTGCGAGTTCCTCAAAACTAACCCGCCCGCCAACACCATCATGGTGCCGTTCAATGTCTGCAGCTCCAGTCGGCACCCTCCAGGGTGACTAGAACCGCGACGGCAAGCTGACAGGGACGACGTGACTCACGAGATTGGCGTAAAAAATGGCTGACATGCATGGCGGGATGCGCGACGGACCGTGGCTGATGTAGACGGCAGGGTAGTCGCGATGGTGGTAAGACAACAAACATTAGCACGGTCAGACCTTTGAAGGAGGCTGACCGCTAACATGTGAAAGGCGAATCAGAATTCGATTCTTGTTTCATTCCGGGCGGAGTCCGTAGTAGGAAGGAGCGACTATTCCTTTGATAGGTCTA